ATGGCCTTTTGATTGCTCCTTCCAACTCTGAATCTAGGCTACCACAAGCTTGAAGCTAGTTTTAACCCTCATTTTGTTGTTAACTAGTTATGTGACCTAGAACAAATTACCTCTCCTCCTCATCTACAAGGTAAAGATAAAATAATATTAAGGATCCCTCTGAGCTTTGACATTCTATTACATCAGAAGGGGATTTTGTTACAAAATGGACTTTTCTATGTATATTTCAGTGCTAAAAAAAGTTCGCTGTTCTGTTGTGACTAATTGATGGGAATTCAAGCCCAGAAGCCTCCAAGGTAGATTCAGGATTACAGAGGTGATGCAAACACATATGTACATATTGTCTGAACTACTTTTCTATCCCATTGCTTCTATGCTGTTGAAGCAGTCTGGGATCAGTGCCAAGTATCTCAGGATTCTAGCACATTTTAATTCCCTATTGGTTTTTTCAAGAATGGAAATGACAGGTAGGGATGTGTAGATAACATGATATGGCTTCCTGTCTACTAAACAGCCCCCAGGTGGCCAGGCATGAGGGGACCTATATTAATGAGTCAAGGGATTATCCCTTATGGGATTAGCAGGGAAGAGAATGGGGCTGATGCTGTCAATTTCTCCTCCGTATAAGAGCAAGTACCAACATGGAGAACAGGGGTGGCTGAGTTGCCGCCAATAACATGTCCCTTGTATGAAGGCAGCATGTTAGGAGGAGGAGGTGGAGGGGAAACAAGACATAAACCAGCTGTAAACACAGAAGCCCAGAGAATAAATCCCTGAAAGTCCCTAGCCAAAACCTTCTCCTTGAAACACAATAATACGTAGCTACCCCAGGCGTCTTCTTTTTGAGAGTGATTTAATACCAGAAATAAAAATTTCCCAGGAAAGATGTTGTCTCAAAATTCAGCTAGCTACCAGGATGGAATAGGAGCATCAGAAATCACAAAAGAAAATTTCTTGCAAAATTGGACCGGGGTAGGGGGTTAGGGTTTGTGTCTTAGGATTTAAATGATACCCCAGTGAAGGCTTGAATGGTGTTGGGAAATCTTCTGAAGTTCTGGATAGTTTCTGACCCTACAAAACTGGTTGAGCAATGACTTGGTAGAGGTAGTGGTTAAATCTACAACAGTCAATTCCTTGCAGAGATTTCTGCAGCTCTGATGTGGGCATTAGGAATTACTGGCTCAAGGCAATTTGGGTATATTCTTTAGGTGTATATTCTTTAGGTGTTCAGTTCAGCAGGAGATGGCAGTCCGTTGCTAAAGCAGAATCCTGGCCCATTTCAGATGTCCTGCAAGGATAACCTACAGTCCCATCTGCCATCTCTTTGCTATGTAGAGTTGGGACTTTACAAAGGAAACATGTATAAAGCTTTACTACTTTCACTGAAATGGAATTTGTACTAATCTGTGATGAAATAAAACAAGCACAGGGAAATTTTTATCAAGAGATAAATTAAAGCCATTTATAGGATAAAAACAAGAGTAGGAAGAAATTGTAAAAGAGCAAAATGAATTTTACAACACAGTTAACATTCAGCTGGCTAGTGGGAAGGTGATGGCAGAGCACCACAGTTTGGTTTAAAAGCACAGCTGGGCTTTAGGGTACATATTAAAATTTCAGAACCAGGCATATGGAGACATTTGCAGAATTACATGCTGCAATATAGGTACTGTACCTTATTTTCAAACGATGATAATGCTTACCACTTAGTATACTAAAATAGTAATGAGAACATGAATTTGCATGAGATGTATTTAACACAGCACATTACAAACTCCTGAATAACAGTAAATTACTATTCTTGTAGAAGTTGGCTCATAAAACAAAAATTCTAATGTCTGATACTGAGGAGAGCATTTAAGGTTGAGTGTTAAGTGATTTCTTTAAAAAACAATCTTACTAGAGAGTTAGAGAAACCAAATAAAATAGGGCCTTATTCTGCACAACAGGATAAGAGGGGTATCTTGCTATCCCCACCCCAAAGGCCCTGGATATCTAAGGGAATATGGGTTCTAGTCCTGGTTGTGTTACTATGTAGCTATGTGTTGCTGGGCAGATAGTTTTGTCTTTCTGCATCCTTTCTTTCCTTCATGAAATGAAGGTTGGGGTGAGATATCTCATCGAAATTACCTGAAAATTAAGACCTATGGTCTAACAGAACTCTATGTGGTCTGAGTTTCCCTCCCCTTTCCCAGAGGGGATCTATTTCAGCTTCAGAACTCTACCTGACTTCAAAGAGAGCCAGGCTTGTGTGCAAGAGACATGTAGTCATAGAGAGTAGAATGAGAATGCAGTGGATTATTTATGTATATTCAGTAAGAGAAATGACTCACAACAAGTATGCAATGAATGAAGCCATTTTAATGGGGATCAAATTGCATACATATTGATACCCGACTCGCTTGTATTCTTAGTCACTGCTGCTTTTGTATGGTTATTGGTGTGATGGGGCAGAGTACCTGAAAACCCACAGGTGATCTGGAATACTTTTATCCTCCATAATAATGCAGTGTAACTCTTGTAAAAAATATTCCTGACACTTGCAGGCACCATCCTTTGAGTGTGTTAGCTTTTCAGCCTTGGAATCTGGATCAGGCTTGGCAAAAATAGAGATTAATTCTGATTACAACATAGCCTTTTAGCTAGTGAAAGTTTATGATCATTTCTCACCTTGGTGACAGTATAATGTAGGCTGGAGGCTCCTTGATGGTAGAGATACTATCATAGATTCAAACCATATACAAGTATAATCCAGTTCATATATTCTCTGGAAATCTGGGTACTGATGATCACTTTTATTCCTTTCTCCTGTCTGCAATTGACAGCTACTTTTACCCGCCTTATCTCACAGAAAAACGTGATGTTGCTTTTGTAATATATCACTTGCCTGGTATGATTATACTATTGTGCATAATGTGCCTATGAAATCTTTTAAATAAAAAAATTACATATGAAGTTTGCTACAGATAATGCTATGTAACCACAAATTTTAGACTAGGAATTCTTAACTGGGGCAAAGGTGTTCATATGCTTGTTTAAAAAATAATCTTGATAACTAGATTTCAACATAATTGGTTTCCTTTGTAATCCTATGTATTTTATTTAATCAATTTAAAAACATTATTCTGTAGTTATTTAGACAGACCTAAATAATTGGAGAAATAATATTTGCTCATGAGTAAGTGGAGCCAATAGAAATGATAATAATATCTAAATTAATTCAAAATACCAAGGGATTACTTTACAGAACTTTATAGAAAAAATGATAATGAAATTCATCTGGAGGAGAGAAAATGGGAAGAAAAGAGGGCTAGCAGCACCAGATCTCAAACAATACTATAAAGAATGAATTGCCGAAACAATTTGTACTGGCTGAAAAAGAGATCAATCATGGGAAAGATTAGGTACATAACCTACAGAAACAAATGAACCTAATAGCTTAGTGTTCAATAAAATACAAAAACCCCAGGTACAGGGGTAAGGATTCACTATTTTATAAACACTGTTCTGAAAACTGGACAGTTGTATGACAGAAATCAGGATAAGATTAACATCTCAAATCTTATGATAAGATAAACTCCAAATAGATAAGTGACCTGGATATAAAAGGTCACAGCATAAACAAATCAGAGGAACAACAGAGAAATTACCTTTCAGATCTATGTGCAGGAGAAGACTAAACAAAGGATAGAGAAGGTAAAATGGATAGTTTTGATTACAAAAAATTTTAAAGTTTTGCATAAACAAATTCAATATAGCCATGATTAGAAGGGAAACAGTTGACTGGGAAAAAATCTTTGCAGCATGATTCTCTGAGGAAGGTCTCATTTCCAAGATATATAAGGGGCTGATTCAAATTGGTAAGAATAAGAGCCATACACCAATTGATAAATGGTGAAAGAATATGAACAGATAGTCCTCAAAGGAAGAAATCCAAGCTAGCTATTATGAAAAATGTAACACATCACTAATTAGGGAAATGAAAATTAAAACAGCTATAGTGTCCTACCTCATATTCATCAGACTGGAAAGGCTGACAAAAAAAAGAATACGATAAATGTTGTAGAGGTCGCAGTAAAACAGAGATATTGTTTGGGCTATGAATTGGTCCAGTAAATCTGGAAAAGCAATTTGGGATTATGTCTCAAAAGTTATGAAACTGTGCACTGAACCAGTGATATCACTCTTAGGCTTATGCCATCAAAGAGATTAAAAAAAGCAAAAAAGGTCTTGTACGTACAAAAATATTTATAGCAGTTCTTTTTGTGGTGGCAAAGAACTGGAAATTAAGGGTCTAGCCATAAAATGGGAAATAGTTGAACAAAATATGGTATATGACCATAATGGAACACTATTGTGCTGTAAGAAATGAAAAAAGACATTTTTTGAGAAATCTTGGAAGACATTCATGAAGAAATGGAGTGAAGTGAAAAGAACCAAGACAACAATTTATACTATAACATCAATATTGTAAAAACAAATAATTCTAGAAGACTTAAGACCTCTGATCCATATAAATGTTCAACCAAGATTCCAGAGGACTGATGATGAAGAATGTTGCCTACCTCCTGATGGAGACACGATAGACTAATACGCTGAATGGAAAACACATTTCTGGATTGTGGCCAATATGGGAATTTATTTTGCTTGACTATGCAATTTGTTACAAGAGTTTTAAATTTCTTTGTTTCTTTTTTTCCCCCCCAGTGAATGGGGTGGGGGAGAGGAAGAAAGTTGAAGCAGAGAAAAAAAATAAATGATTGATAACAGAAAAAATTTTAAAATGTATTTAGAAAAGAATTAAAAGCATTATTCTGAGAAAGTTGCAGAAGCTTTGACAGATTGTCAAAGAGAAATACAAATTATAAAAAGGGTTAAAGCCCCCTGAATTAGAGTTCCCTTATTTTTAAGCTTATTTTTTTGGGGGGAAGAGGGCGACGTCTTCATTTTCCTTACCATGAAAGCACTACTGAATACAAATTTTATTTCTTTGCACTCACCTGTCCAGGCTGTTCACAGGCTGTTTGGTACCGTGCTTGCTGGCAAAGTTCTTTGACCCTCTCGTATTTGGGTAAGTGATTTGACTGTTGGGCATTCTTGCTAGGTTCTTCCTTCTTGCGCAGGAATTTGCTTCGATACGAACAGACAAGCATTAGAGCAGTGCTCTTCCCCACTTGCCATGATCCATGCCCACCCTACAACCTCACTTCTTAGCAAGAGGAGAGAACTTAATTTAGAGAAAGCTTAAAGAGGGGCTCCTGCCAAATTCAGCATTTGGTGAGCTGCTTGGATGAAAACTATCACTCAAGAGTCACCAAGAAACTTTCTGGGATGGCAAAGCTGCTACTAGAGTAACAGTTTTTAAAAGCTTTATTCATTCACAGTGCTTAGTTTTATAGGCTATATATAAAGCTAGTGCAGCTAATAATCATTTGAATGCCTTTAGCTGTGAGAAGTGATGTTATGATAAAGGGCAAAGCATGGAATCAAATGGGCAGAAATCAGTAGTTTTATAAACAAATCTCCATTGCATTTTGGAATTTATTCTAGTTATCAAAAGTGTAATTCAAAGAAACAAAACCTGGGAAATTGGAGATGGGGCTTTGAGTGCAACTGAAGAGGTAAACATAGATTTGGTTATGTTATAAAAGCAATTTGAGGATCATGATCAGAAAGGCTGATTCAATTTTTTTTTTTAACGAAGTGCTATAGGTAAAAAAAAAAGTTCAAATGAAAACATAGGTTAAGGACCCATATTATGAAAATTCATTGCTGAAAATTCAGATGCAAGAAGGCTGTAATGAGAGATCCAACTTGCTTTGCTGGTCAGCAGAGAAGGATTAGAAACTGTTCGACCTTGTGACTAGGAATTACAAAATCTGCAGGCTTGCTGAGTGAAAATGAAAAAAAAAAGCACCCAAGAGGTAGATTTGACCACTAAGAATGTTTTCCAGTACCCCAAAGCCAATAATTACCCTCTTTCCACTAGGAATGTATCACGCCAAATTTTGGTCTTTTTGTTTGTTCGAAACCTGAAAGCAAAACAATAATATTTACTGCTGGCATCTGGAAGCCTTTTTATATGGAGCCGTGTTAACAGTTTATTTAAAGAAGCACCTCTCACTTCATATGGACCGTAACTATAACTTTATAAATGTACTATTCACATACAGCTTAGAAATTCCAAGTTTGTGGTAATCTTGATGGAAAGAGCTTGTTTTACTAGACTTTTTCTCTGTGCCATGGTGGGTTGGCTCAAATGTACACTGAGACTGGCTGTAGGGAAGGATAATGACCCACCTGTTACCTGGTTTTTCTAGGTCCAGCAGTTTGAGGACTGACTTGCCATCCACATCGGGAGGAGTGTCGAGCCCAGCAATATCCAGGATGGTGGGAGCCAGGTCAATGTTCAGCACAATCTGAGACACTCTGCAAGGGAACAGTTAGATGAGAAAGCCATTCACCTCCCATCAAGAGGGCATACAATTTAGGGTGCTTTTCTAGAAGCACAGAAGAAGCAGTATTAGCAGTTTAAGGTTTATATAGCACTTTACTTCAGAGGCATAAAATTCCTAATTGATTGAATCCAGAGCCTGAATAAAATGCAATTGGGAAATATTTTACAAAATAAATAAAAAGACAGTATGACATAATAATGGTAATTTTTTAGTAAAAATAATGGTAGTTTGTTGTTTTCTAAGTCACTATGCAGCCTGCAGAGATTAGTTTGTATCTGAGGTCAACACCACTACTTTACACATATTCTCTCATTTGGTCCTTACAACAACCATGTGAAGTCATGAAGGATTGACTTTTATCTATCCATTAGGCTCTTTATTTTTTTGACCCCATTATGACCAATGAGATATATTTATGAAGCATTTGGCTAGGGTGAGGATTGAACTCTGTAACTGTGGAACAGAGCAAAGCTAACTGACCCATAAAGGGATCAAAACTGGAGATCATGGCCTCATTAACACCATTGTCTAATGGAGTTAGCAGCCTAGACAAGGTCAAGCATATGGCCTTCACAGGTTGTGCACTGGCTTCCCAAAATTCTTTGGGTCAAAGGCTTTTCCTACAGACCTAGGGTTTTCAAAATGGAGCTGCCAGATTCTGTCAAAAGGCGACTAAAGACTTTCAAAGTTGAATATTATCTTCTCCTACCCTATCTCTCAAACAGATTTTCTAAGATTCACTTTTAAGAAAAACCAGGGTGCTTACAATTGTTTCAGGACATACCTCCATATTCTCAAAACACAAACCATTGAAATCCACAACTCTTAAGGGATGCAGCATGATATAGTAGAATGGGCATTAGATTTGGTGTCACAAGACCATTCTATGCCTTTATTCATTCATCCTAGCTGTGTTTACTGTGTGATTTGGACAAGCCATCAAACTTCTCTGGGCTTTAGTTCTCTCAGCTCTTAAATGAGGGGGTTTGACTAGATAGCTCATCTGAGTCCTCTTGAGTCACTTCTTCATTAGTCTAGAGCTGATTATTTCATGATTTGCAAAATGAGGGGACTATATTGGATTTCCTGTGGTGCTTTCTTCAGCTCATTTTATAGATGGAGAGATGGGGACAGAGACACTTATGGCTCACTCAAGGTTATATATCTAGTCAATGGAAAGGATAGAATTTAAGTACATACTAGGTGCTTAATAAATATTTACTAACTGACAACTTAAGGCCATGTCTTCTGTTTTCTATTCACTGATTATTTCCATTAGACTGCACTGTGTTGTTCAAATAATACACACACACACACACACACACACACACACGCACACACACACACATATAACCCTAGACTTCAAGAAATTGGGAAAAGGCTAATGTGAAATCAAGCAAGTGAGAGGTTGTTGCTACTTAAATACAGTCATGAATCCTTCTAAAGAATCTTTTCCCTTCCAAATTCTTTATTTACCTACGAGACCAAAGGTGTGAGTTCTTATTATGCAAAGATGGACTATTAATAATATTTTTTTCTCTGTCTTTGAGTTATTTTGAATGACAGTAAAAAAAACCCAAACCTTTATTCCTATCTTTTATGTTATTCAATCTGAAGATACTGTTTCCTGATCAAAGGAAATTAAAACTGAGATTTTTGTTAACCAAAGTTATTGAATTGCTTTTGGCTTGATAACTTGTGTCATAAACAGAAGAGTACCTACATTGATCCTGGTTCTACACTTGGTCCACGAATAAAGAAAGGAACACGGATATCAAAGTCATAAGGCATGGATTTCCCCTTGACCAATCCAAACTGCCCAATATGGTACCCATGGTCTGCAGTGTAAATGATGTAGGTGTTATCCAGTTCTCCAGTTTCCACAAGCATATTATATAGCTGAAATATATCACAGGGAAAAGTAGAAATGAAATGGAATGATATAATATGACATCTGGAGGATTTTGCTACAATTATCCCTTCTTAACCCCTCTTTAAAAAAATTCCTTTTCAATATGAGTTTAATGATCATTAGACAATATAAGCATTTTAACATACAAAGAAGAGCACAAAAGGGAATATATATGGAACCATCAACTTCTGTCACATATACTTTAATATTTTTCTAAAACTTATCATGTTACAATGCAAAGATTGTTTCTAAAAGGTTGAGTAGGAGGATGGGAAAAAACTGATTTCATTAATAGAGGAACCTCCCAAAGTGGAAAAGCCCTCTATTAATGCATAAAGGCATCTGCTCTATGACTTATAGTTTTAGAGAATTGTCTGGAGGTATCAAGTGATTTGTGTAGGGAAACATAGTTAGTGTTTGTCAGAGGCAGGACATAAACCTGGGTCTTTCTGATTAGGGCTTGCTCTCCAAAAGGCTGATAGCTTATTTTGTTGTTGTTGTTTTCAAATTATATTTTCTACCAATTACGTATGAAAATGATTTTTAACCTTCTTTTTTAAAATTTTGAATTCCAAATTCTCTCCCTTCCCTCACTCCTTTCTGAGATGGTAAGCAATTTAATATAGGTTATATATGTGCATTATGAAAAACATATTTCCATATTCATCATGTTGTGAAAGAAAACATACATCCCCCCCAAAAAACCCTATAAAAATGAAGTGAAAAATAGTATGCTTCAATCTGCATTCAGACCCCATCAGTTGTTTCTCTGGAGGTGGATAGCATTTTCCATCATGAGTCCTTTGGTATTGTCTTGGATCATTGTATTGCTGAGAATAGCTAAGTCATTCATTCACAATTCTTCTTTGCACAGTGTTGTTCTTACTGTGTGCAATGATCTCCTGGTTCTGCTCACTTCACTTTGCATCAGTTCATGTAAGTCTTACAAGGTTTTTCTGGAATCACTCTGTTCATCATTTCTTATAGCACAACAGTAATTCATCACACTCTTATGCCATGACTTGTTTAACCATCACCCAATTGATGGACATCTCCTCAATTTCTAATTCTTTGCCACCACAAAAAGAGCTGCTACAAATATTTTAAAACATATAGATCCCTCTCCTTTTTTTGATATCTTTGGGATACAGATCTAGCAGTGGGATTGCTGGATCAAAGGGTATAACCATTTTTACAGCCCTTTAGGCACAGTTCCAAATTGCTCTCCAAAATGGTTGGATCAGTTTATAACTCCACCAGCAGTGCATTAGTGCCTCAATTTTCCCACACCCCCTTCAATTTTCTTTTTCTATCATAGCCAATCTGATAGGTATGAAGTTGTACCTCAGACTTGTTTTAATTTTCCATTTCTCTAATAAATTGTGATTTAGAGCATTTTTTCATATAACTTTAGGTAGCTTTGATTTCTCTATCTGGAAAGTCCCTGTTCATATCCTTTGACCATTTATCAATTGGAGAATAACTTGTATTCTTATAAATTTGACTCAGTTCTACATATTTGACAAATGAGTCCCTTATCAGAGACACTTGCTTGAAAATCCACCCCCCCCCAGCTTTCTACTTCCCTTCTAATCTCAATTGCATTGGTTTTGCTGGTGCAAAATCTTTGTATTTAACATAATCAAAATTATCCATTTTATATCCTGTAATGCTCTCTATCTTTCATTTGGTCATAAATTCTTTCCTTATCCAGGTATCTGACAAGTAAACCATCCGAGGTTCCCCTACTTTGCTTATGGTATCACTCTTTATGTCTAAATCTCGTACCCATTTTGACATTATCTCGGTATATGGTGTGAGATGTTGGTCTATACCTAAGTTTCTGCCAAGCTGTTTTCTAGTTTTCCCAGCAGATTTTGTCAAACAGTGAATTCTTGTCCCAAAAACTTGGAGCTTTGAGTTTATCAAAATCTAGATTACTATGATGATTCCCTACTGTGTATTTTGTACCTCATCTATTCACTGATCCTCTGCTCTATATCTTAGCCCAGCACCAGATTGTTCTGATGATTACTGCTTTTTAATACAGTTTGAAATCTGCTACAGCTAGGCCACCTAGGGCTGATATTTTAATAAAATGGTCTCTTAACCTTCCTTAGTTATTCATTTTATCTACTAAGTCATGTACATCAGTTGAGTTCTCTGTCCCCCTGGGGAATAAAATCACCATCTAGCTGATTCAGTTGTATTCATCAATTCCATTATTCGCTCACATGGGAAGAAGGAGTCAAGTAAACTAACACTTTTGAAATTTAACCATTTTTTCAAGTGCTTACATTTTCATTGCACATTATTATTTTTTTTGGTTAAGAAGAAAACTTTCTATAACACATCAGTTTGAAAATGCAGCACATAAGCAAGTTATTTTATTGCTGCTCTTGTGTTTATATGTTCTTCCTGTTTCTCTTCCAGTTGAGACTGGCTTGGCTTCCCTCAATTCCTCCTGAACCACACACTGAAAAGTATAAGAAAAAGGTGGGAGCAGGGTGAAGATGGCAAGGGTAATTAGAAATCAATGTCCTGAAATGCAAGGAAAATATGAAGAAGTTTTGAGGGCAAGGGAAGGTGATGCAGGAGAGAAAATAGGAGGAAGCATCCTTGAAGATTTTGTGTGCTTACCCTTTCCACAGAGTCATCAACTGACATCAGAGTCTGAAGCCTTTTCCGCTGCAAAACATTTGTAAATTCCATGTGGATGGGCAGCATGGGTCCTGTGTACTGCATTATCCAATGCTTATCCATATTTGGTGCGTAGTTGTAACTGGGAGTACTGAAAATAGCCGGGAAGAAGTCTTAGTGTATTTTTATACTTAGTCACTTATAAAAACTCAGCAATAAGGGTCATGAAATAATCTTTCATGGGAAGCAATTAAAACATCACTAACACATCATTTTTCTCTCTCTCAGGACTATGTCTTTTTTGCTTACAGAAATTGACATATTATCTTGAGAGTTTCACTGGGAAGTCTACTCTGGTCCCTCTGGACTGAGGAACTCTTTCCCTTCTTGGATCTCTTACAGCACTTAAAAAACATTCTGCTTTTCTGTGCATATCCTTTCTTTCCTACTAGACTATCAGCTCCTTGAGAACAGGAAACATGTCTTATTTATCTTTGTATCTTAATTTCCCCATGGTCTTGCATATAGTTGGAGCTTAATTTTTTTGTGATAAAGCTGCATTTGAAATCATCATCATCTGAAACATCATTAAAATCTCTGGAATTATTTTGATTTAAAATTTTAAATAAAGATTTGCAATGGATACACTGCCATTTTAAAATGCAAGTCTGTTAATATTCTCCATGATCTGGATGGAACTGGATAGAACCTTTCTAGCCTTATTTTATAGGTCTACATTTCACATGCTCTATATTCCAGCCAAATTGATGATTAGCCATTTCCTGGTGTCACCCTATTCTCCCCTACTCCCTCTCTATTTGCAGGCTACCGTCTGCCTAGAATAGACTCCCTTTTCCTCGAAGGCTTAGCTCAGAGATACCTCTTCTGTCAAGGTTTTTGTAGGGCCATCTCCCAAAAGCTTCATGCATCTGTTTGACTTCTTTTTTACTTATCACAAAAGTTTACTTGGGCAAATGTCTCAGGCCTTCCCATTAGATTATGATTTCCTTGAAAGCAAGGGCTGTGTTGTTTTTATTTCTACAGTTCCAGTACCTAGTATGGTATATCGTAACAAACTTGATAAGTGTTGTTGAATTGAACTTTTGTTTGGGTGTATAGGATAAAAGCTGCATCATACACAGTGTTGTTATTGTTGTTCAGTCATTTCAGTCCTGTCCAACACTTCATGACCCCGTTTGGGATTTTCTTGGCAAAGATACTGGAGTGGTTTGTCATTTCCTTCTCTAGCTCATTTTACAGCTGAGGAAACTAAGGCAAACAGGATTAAGCGACTTGCCCAGGGTCACAAAGCTAGTAAGTGTCTGAGGCCAGATTTGGACTCAGTTCTTCCTGATCCCAGGCCTAGTATTCTATCCAGTGTGCCACCTAGCTGCCCATTATACACAGTAATATGACTAAAATAGCATTTATGTTCAATGTTTATAATGAAGAAACCAATGATGTTTTCATAGCAATATGAAAGCATACCTCTTTTGATTTCTTATTAGAGAGTTAAGTATACCATTTTCTACAGGAAGCCTTTCCCAATTCCTCTTAATTCTAGTACCTTTTCTCTGTAATTATGTCCTTTTTATCTTGTATTTGCTTGAATACACACACACACACACACACACACACACACACACGCACTGAGTTTTCTTGTTTGTCTCTCTCATTAGATTTTGAGCTCCTTGAGAACAAGGACTGTCTTTTGCCCTGTGTATTCTCAGTGCTTGGCACAGTGCCTGACATATTGTAGGCACTTACATGTTTATTGATTGATTAATTGAAATATGTTCTCATAAATACTTGCTGTAAGTAATGTGGACTTTTAACATATGCTTCTCTTGAAACTTACTCCATTTCTTGAGTGATATATTTCTACTGTACAGAGAGAGACTTCATTACTCAAGTAAAAGTCATAATATCATACTGCTAACTAATAGAGACTGCCTAGTAATGAGGTAGCATCATGGAAAAAAGGGCAAACCTTAGAACCCAAAAGATCCGAGTAGAAGTTCTGCTTCTGATATATACTGGCTGCATGACCATAGGCAAGTTACTTAAACTCTCAACACTCCCTAATGCTCTAGATTAGCACGGGAGAAAGGCTTCTGGATTTGATATCAGAGTCCTGGGTTCAAATCTCAGCTCTGCCTTTACTAGCTGTGTGACCTTGGGCAAGTCACTTAACATATATGGACCTCAGTTTCTTCATCTGAATGACAAGGGCATTTGGGCTCTAAGATTCCTTCCAACTCTAAACCTATGAGCTTATGAAGTGTTTGCTAAATTTCAACATGAGCAGCACCTGTGCATTTTGCACAATGTTTCTGGTAGTTATAGACATGTCAGTCCCACCTTTCCCTAATGATTTTAAATTATGTGAAAGTTGGGACTCTCCATGATTTTTCACCCAGATTGCCCAAGCATTAGAGATACATCTAGGTGCACAATGGAAGTAAAGGGAGTCTTCCCAAGTGTCAGCGTACCATTATCATTAAGCCAAAGCACAGCTTGGCCAAGAACCCCGTGGTCAGAATGAATATCAACACCCTGGGTGAGTGATAAGGAAAACTGGTATATAATTGCTGCCAACCCTTAAAATATCATAGCTGGGAAAACTTGTAGGTCTTATTTCTAAGCCCAATTGTGTACAATCTAATAGTGTTATTCAAGAGATTATCATTCTAATTAATGAATCCTTCATCTTAGGTTAAATAAGCATATGAAGAAATCTCCAAATGAATTACTGACCTCACCTATAAAATTTCATCCTGTAGTGGCCAAATTCCAGTGCTATCTCCTAGAGACATCTTAGCCTGAGAGATACAATTATCTCAGAGACACCTTAGAAATACGATTATAGCAATGAAGAATTTTGAAAGGAAATGGTCCATGTAAGTGCAATATTTTCATCTCTTCCTCCTCTTCTTTTCCTGCTCCTCTCCTTCCTTCTTGACAGGAGATCTAGAGGAAAAACTTTTTGCCTACTTCCATAGCAGACCCTGCTAGTGACAGCAGAAAAGTTCATCCCTGATTCTCCACGCTACTATATTCATAACTCATTTTTCATCAATGAGTCAACACTGCTCTTGAGTGTGGGATGAAAATATCAGTAGGGAAGTTCACAAACTGGTTCAAATTACAATATGGCACTTAGCACAAATAACAATATTATCAAGGTTAAATCCCACACACCCAAAGTCCTAAACTATAGTCCACTTTACCAAGAAATTTCACGGGCACGCTGTGTTGTGGCAAAAATCACTAGTGGAAACTTTCAAACAATATCTTCCTGTATTTCTGAGGGGGAATTACAGAACACATTTTTCTTCTATTGTCCAGTGAGTAGATGAGTCACATACTGAATGGTTCCAATGAACAAAGTGTGAAGGAATCTGTCCAGCTCCAAAAAGTGAACCACTGACTTGTTTTCCACTGGCCTGATCAGGGCCACTGAATTGCAAGAACAGATGAAGCAGGAAAGGCTCTTTTAGTTAATGTTATGAAATTATGACTTTTACTTAAGTAATGAAGCCTTCTTGTACATTAAAAACCAAGATTGGGATGAGCTGTAGCACAAGGAGAAAGTGAGCTGGATTTAAAATCAGATGGCTTGTTTTCCAATTTTAGGCCTATCTCTCACTGTCTGCATGACCTAGAGTAAGATACTTACCATCTCCAGCCTCAGCTATTTTAGCTGTAAAATGATTAGGCTGTACTAGCTGACCTCTGTGGTCCCTTACTATTCTGATTCCTATGATCCTACTATTATCAGATTGGGCACGTAAGGGCATAAAATGTTCCTTCTCCTAGAAAGGGGGTGATTGAGCATTCTTTGGGGGTACTTTGAGATTAGAAAAATGAGACATCTGTTGGCACAGGTTTCCCAAACTGTTCACTGATCCATAGTTTAAAAAGGGATGTTGCTATACCAGAATAATTTTACCATGTTTATTTATAATCAAATATTCTCTCATTTCTTTTAATGGCAAGAAACCTTAAATTAAAAATCAATTGGTTGTTTTTCTTTTTTTTTAAACTACAAAACCAACCTCACACAAATAAAAAATTTATAGCAGGAATGGAACTGTGGACTCATTTTGGATTAATTATATTGACATCAGCTACCTTGATGTGCATGACATCATTCAGCTTCATTTGGTGAAACAGTCAAGGTTAGTGTAAGACTCATTTAAAAAAATTATTTATCAGTGGTGATCAGGGTGAAGGAACTTGCCCAGGGTCACACAGTTAGTAAGTGTCTGAGGCCAGGTTTGAACTCAGATCCTTCTGACTCCAGGGTCACTGTGCCACTTAGCTGCCGTGTGAACTTCATTTTTGTAGATTGGGTACATGTATTTGGAAATAAGTTGTGCTTTATTGTATTTTATATGTGGGAACTCACAAGGGTATAAGACATGTTGTCCAAATCATAATTTTTCTTTTCTTCCCCTCTATAATGTGACCCTGCTCTCCAAGGAAGGATTCCCAGAAAAAGACCTGAAGCATAGGGTAGGAAATGTAATAAAGGAATGCAGCATGGTCCTTCTGGCAGAAGACAGGTGAATCCTGATTCCCATGGACCATCAGCTATCTTTAGGGATCTGAAATAGGTTCATGAGTCACTTTAAAAAAAATTCCAAAGTGTCATCCTCAATCATCGAAGATGTAGCCTTTAAGATAGTACTTTAACATGTGGCCTCTTGCCTTATAGCTTTAACTGATGTTTGCTTTTTTACACTAAACAAAATTCTTGTTTGCAATGCCCTAAGGCACATAAATGTCAGATAAACACCTGTGTTGTCAGGGGCTAATGGAAAAAACACATGAAAAAACCCCAACCACATAAGTGATATTGGCCATGAAAGAACCATATGATCTGAAAGTAAAAGAAATCAGAAGCTGGTCTGTCCATTGGTTCTTCTTCCCCATCACCCAAGGATGGAGAGTTGGACTTATCTCCACTGCAACTTTGGTAGCTAACTGAGATAATCCCCTGTGTGAGTTACATCAATTCCTTTTTATTAACATTTGATATGGTTACATTTGCCACCTCCTTGTTATTACTTTTCTGAAGTGAAGAGAGGGAGCTTTTTTGCTCTTTTCTTCTTTCTACCTCAAGCCATCCTTTATTTTAGTCAATTC